AAGTCTTAGTAAACATTAGACATAACTACTTATTGTCATCATATGAGTATTGAAGGATAGTCATAAACAATTAGCAAATAATAGTTTAAAAAACTCATTGCAATTGAATAGGAACTGACTCATAGCTGACCCTCCAGCGGGCTTGCTGAAGTTGTAAATTGCACAAGGAGAGCTTCCCTATCTTTCTTCCTTGGAGCAACTGGTTAATTCAAACCACTAAAGAGGTTCCCCTTTGGGTTAGCAATGTAGTTCCTTACTATTGTTGTTAGATGCCATCAAGTTACACACAGCTCATGGTGACCCTCTGAACAACAAAACTGAACCCTGTCCTGTCCTGTGCCATCCTCATCATCTCTGACATGCTTGAGCTCATTGCTACTGTCACTGTGTCAATCTGTCTGATTGAGGGTCTTCCTCTCCTTCGCTGATGCTCCACCTTTCCAAGCATATCCCTGTCCCTGTCCAAAGAATAGTCTCTCCTAACAATATGCTTGAAGTGTGTGAGACAGAATTTTGTCATCTTTGACTCCAAGGATCATTCTGGCTGTACTTTTACCAAGACATATGTTTATTCTTTTGAGATGTAATCCATACTGAAAACTGTAGCTTTTGATCTTCTGCAGCAAGCACTTCAAGTCTTCCTCACTTTTGGCAAGCAAGGTTGTGTCATCTCCATAACACAGGTTCTTGATGTTTGCCCTCTGATCCTGATGCCATGTTCTTCTGCAAAGTCCAACTTCTCAAATTATTTGCTCAGCAAGCAGACTAAATTGGAATAGAGAGAAGATACAACCCGGGTGCATACCTTTCTTTATTTTATACCATGCAGTTTTCTTGCTCTGTTCAGACGACAGGCTTCTTGGTCTGGGTATAGGTTTCAAATGAGCACAATTAAGTGTTCTGCAATTCCTATTCTTCTCAATGTCAGCCAGCCTTAAGTTTTCGTCATCCATACAGTCAAGCGCCTTTATACAGTCAATACAATACAAATTCTTCTAGTATTCTCTACTTTCAGTAAGGATCCATCTGACATTAATAATGATAGCTCTGGTGCCATGATCTCTTCTAAACCAAGCTTGTATGTATGGCAGTTATTTGTGCATGTTCCAGCCTTTTTCGGATGATTTTCAGCAGTATTTTGTTTACATGTGATGTTAATGATATTATTTGATAATTTCCACATTCTGTTGAAGCACCTTTCTTGGAAATGGGAACAAATATGAATCTCTTCCAATCAGTCAGCCAGGCAGCTAGCTGCCCAATTAACAAATGATTAGTCAAATGCTTAAAAATAGTTGGTCATGTTTATTCATTAGCATATTTATTTTTCATAAACATTTTTTAAACACAGTCATGTTATATATATATATATACATATATTTTCTAAAATATACTGGCCGATATGAGGAAATGTAAGCTTTTATGTTATTTTGAGGATCTCTGGTGGCATAATGTGTTGTGAATCAGCCTGCCAGCCTAAAGGTCAGTGGTTTGAATCCCCCAAATGTTATTCAACAGAAAGATAGGCTGTAAACATTTACAGACTCAACACGTTGTGGAATGTTACCATGAATTGGGGTTAAGTTGATGTCAGGAAGTTTAGTTTTTGTGTTTTATCATTCTACAAGGAAAATTCACACTTTCAAATGTAGTCTTTTTTTCTGACTGAGTATTAGAATCATGAGAATAAACTCTAAAAATCTGGAAAGAGAATGTCAGGATGTTTATGTGATTTTGCTTTCTGCCTTCTTTTCTGTTTTACTTTTTGCCCCTTTTCTACCATACACAATTTTTCATCTTTCTAGACCATTTCCCCCCATTTTGCATGGTTCCAATCAGTACCCATCTTCACTATATCTTCCTAAAGAGAATAATCTCCTAAATTTATATCAGTTTAGGTATCTGTAGGATATACTTAATTGCACTGGGAAAATTAGCTGTTAGTGGCCTCTCCAGAGTACTGAAAAGCAATGAGGTCAATCTGGAGACTAAGAAGTGCCTGATCCATGGTCTTTACAATTACTTGCTATGCATCAGAGAACTGTACAACGACCAAGGATGATAGAAGTATCATCAACGTCTTTGACTCATGGTGCGGGGGAATAGTATCGAATACTCCATGGACCGCTAGGAGAAAAAACAGGTCTGTCTTGGAGAGGGTGAAACCAGGTTGCTTCTTGAAGGCATTTTTTTTAAGTCCCATCTCACTTATTTTGGGCCTGTTGCAAGTAAGGACCTGTCCTTGGAGAGGGACATCATGCTTGGAAGGGTAGAGGGACAGTGCAGGAGAGGAAGACCCTGGATGATACGGATTGACTCAGTGGCTGAGTCAATGGGGTCAGATGTGTCAGAGACAATGATGTTGACTCAAGATAGAGCAGGGTTCAGAGCTGTTGTACACAGGCTTGTTATGAGTAACAAGCGACTTGACAGCACATAACAACAGCAACAACTGCAGGATAGACTCACAAAACACCGATATTTTCTTATGTAGCAATTTTCACAAATGCAATCAATTGTATAGTTTGTTATTAAATGTCTAGCCTCAGGAAGAGTATAAGATGTTTATCTTTCTAATTAAGTCTTGTATACACATAGTAGTAATGTTACAACTCATAGTTAACAAAATAATGAAAAAAATAAATAATAAATAGCAAACTGTATCAATTTGTGGGTTCAGATAGTTAATACTTCCTGAATCTTGTCCAGCTGAAGACTTTGTCTCCGTCTTCCTATTTTCTAGCTTCATTGATCTTTGTGGAAGAATCAACAGAGTACTGACAAGGAAATAAGGTTGAAGAGTTGGACCCAGTCCATGCAAGCCTCTGTGTGTTTTTATGTCTGTATCTGTTTTCTCAGAGCCCTGCCTGGACTGTCGCTTCTAGAAATCATGGTAGATGGGTGGCATATCTTCTTTAGCTTGGTCTATGTTCTTGCTTCTCTCTCCTCATAGCACCGTGGCGGCCAGCATCAATGCCTTGGCAACAGTGACCTTTGAAGATTTCGTTAAGAGCTGTTTTCCCCGTCTTTCTGACAAGCTGAGCACCTGGATCAGTAAAGGCTTATGTAGGTACAGCCCGTGACTTCCTATGTCATAGCATGAAATGCACATATGAAATAATCTGTACACATTATGTCAGTCACACAAGTCAAAACACACACAGCATATATGAAAGAATCTCATGTATAGATTCTCATACGTACAAAGAGAATGGTAAAGAATCAAGAAAGAGTGACGAGCTTACCATTCACTGACCCTTATTCTCAGATCCTCTTCTGAGTTAATGCTACACTTTAGACTCATAAATATCTATTGATTCAACTATGCATAGATCCAAGTTGTCTATTTTCTACACAGGAAGACCTTCTGCTCACTGAAGTCAGTTCCTTGGCTGAACAAAAGTCAAATAACTTTCTAAAGAATCTCTGTTTTACTTACAGCCCAATTAACTCCTTCAAATAAAGAAGAAAAAAGTAGTAACATGTTGTTTATAATCACTATATTTATCATATTAAGCTATTATTTTAATACACTAACTTCCTTTAAGTATAAAAACTGATATACAAATATCCCTATTATAGAAAATGTAGGTAAGATGGAAAATATAGGAGACACTTTTTATTAGGTTTCCAAAAGTCAGATCTTCACTAATGGCAGTACTAGAATGTGGAACTGTCATTCGATTTGACCAAGAGGACAGGGCCAATACTCAAAGCTGAAGGGATGAGGCTGTTTTGTTCAAGTAACAGCAGAAAAGGGCCAGATGGGGACTAACGAGTGGAGTCACCGCCCAAATGGACTAGAAGAATGGAACTTGACCCAAACCAAGAGTACAGAGCTGAAATCTAGGACCCAGGAGAATTCCAACCAGATTCTAGAGGGAATGGGCAAAATCCAGAGTGTGGAGGCCATGACCCTTGTCCAGATGGTTTCAGTGAACAAAGAAACACTTTCAACCCTGAAGAAGTAATATAAAATTTATGTTGAGCTTTAGACTTATTTGGTGCCCATTAATCATCCCATTTCTCCCATTTCTTCCATTTTTAATGGAGATGTCTTTCACGGCAATTTCCTTTGTTTGTAATGGAAATTCCTACTTGTCTTTGTTCTATAATTGCATTTTAGAAGTAGATGCTTTGAAGTCTAGATTTCACAAGTTCACAAATGAAAAGGATTTTTTTTCCCCCCTAGGATAGAATATACTTTAAGTCTCATTCATATTTGATTTAGATGTTCTAGAAGGTGAGATTTTTGGGTTCAGATGTGATTTAGGGCTTTTTGTGGTGATGTGATGGTATGAATATGTTTTGCATGTGACAAGGAAATGAATTTGTAAGGACCTAATATAATGACACTTGAATTGTGTCCTCCTCACCAAATATGTGTTCTAAATCCTGATTTCTATGCCTGTGGTTATAATCCTGCATAGAAATGGTTTGCCTTTGTTATGTTAATGAGACAGGATTCGTATGAATGCATTCTAAATAAGTCTCTTTTGAAATATAAAACTGATTTAAAAAGCAAGCAAGAGAAGCAGAGCTGAGGGAAGAGAGATGGCAAACTACAGAGACTGACCAGAAGCTCAGAAGAAACAAAGAGGTTTCACTAGAACTGACACAGATAGAAAGCCCTCCCCTCGAACAAGAACTCAGGATTTGGACTGGTAGCTTCTTAAAGTCTGATACATGAAAGTCTGTTTATTAAAGTCACTCATCTACCTGATCTAGGGAAGCATATCTTTGATAAAATGACCTTCTAAACCTGGCTTGTGCTGGCTGATCATGTTGAGAGCTAACACAGATTCCTTCTTCTTGGACTCTCATCAGGGATACTTCTGGGAAGGGGCTCAAGAAACCCTCTGGAGCAGCCTGGGTACTTATCACAAATGTCCTTTCTTTCAGGTCTCTTGTTTGGAGTGATGTGCACCTCCATGGCAGTTGCTGCATCTCTCATGGGTGGTGTCGTGCAGGTAATGCAAGAGAGGAAATACGCTATTCATGTTGGAAGCATCTTTCCTCTACTCTCTGTTTTAAAGGCTCTTTTTACTCCTCCAAGACCCAGATATTCTGACTCACTGATACAAGATGAAAATTATACATACATGTAAATGGAAAATCAGAATTACTTTCAAAGGAGAAAACATAAATCTAGTACTGAGATTCAGTTATAATGTGCATTGCGATCAAAGTAGAAATACTCCTAAATTTCAGATCTAAGAATATAAAATTGTGAAATAAAAATCTGAAGAAATAATACTCATTATAGTAAATATAATAACAGCAATTACTATTTGTTAATATTTACAATGTTCCATATGCAGAATGATTATAATACTCATTTTACTGATTAAAGAATGAAAAAGTAAAAAAGTGAAGTAATTTTTCTAAAGTCACATAGTTAAGATTGTTGAAGCTGCTATGCAAATTCATCTTTACCTGTTAAACAAGAATTTTAAGGTCCTTCCCATATGTCCAACTCCCTGTTTCTTAGAGTGTTAGCACCAGGATGTCTTTTTAAAAAGAATCATTGGAACAGTTTTATTTTGTAGATTAAGATGAACATGGGAGAGTGAATGTGACCTGGGGCAGGTTCTGTAGCTAGCTAGTGGCTGAACCAGGTTTATGACTTGGGTTTCCTGAAACCCCTCACCCTCTCTGCACCTCATCCCTAAATCCCTTCACTCAAAAGCAGCATCAGATTCAACTGCAACCTTCTAGGGTCCTCTTGCAGCTTTGTGCAACTTTTATCTTTTATATTTCTGTAGTGTGAGCTTTTGAGAAATATGATTGAATTGAAGGATGAGAGTGAATCTTAATCAGGGGCATTTGTGGACCTATGCTAGTTCACAGAGCAGTGAATTTGCTTTAATCCTTCTGACAACCACTTGCATGTTATTGTTGGTTACTGGGTATCATAGAATCGAGTAGGACTTACAGTGTTTCCATGAAACACAGATTCCATTATTTCTGTTTTAAGGTTCAGAAAGTGAAATTGAAGACTTAAGCGTCTTGATAATTTACTTGTCTGCTTAAAAACAGATAAGGGACCTGAAATGTGGAGTCTTCGTTACTTAATTTTAAAATTTTTTAAGTTCTAGATTTTCCATTTTATAGGAGATAGTTGATAATTTCTTTTCAAGTTTTTGAGCCTTTTTTTCTGTCTACTTTACATATATAAGAATTGGCAAGTTGGTGAATTCTATATTTAGTGACCTCAACTACAAATTCAGGGAGTGTTTAATTCCCAGTCACCTCTGGGTCACGCTCATTCTCCATTTCTTTCTCTATTTTATCCAATCATGACTCCCTTTTATGAAGTTCAACTTATTGAGAATATGAATTTTCAAACTGTTTTCTACTAGAAATACTTTAAGCTTGTTGTGTACCATCAAGTTGAAACCAACCCATCACTGACCCTCCAGCCAGTTTTTCAGAGCCAGTTAATTACACAAGTGGAGACTGCCCATCCTTTTCCCTCAGAGCAGCTAGTGGCCTCGAACCACATGCCTTTGGGATTGCAGTGCAGCTTTTTGCCACTAGACCACCAGAGATTTTTTTAAGCTTATTTACATAAAAAGATATGGAAAGTTCTAGAATGACAAGTACTTTTCTAAGAGCAAGTATAAATATAAAGTTTTAATTATAAACATTATACTTAAATGTTTAGAATTCTAGATATGAACGGAGTTTTGAGTATTCCTCTGAATCCACTTTCTAGATTGTCTAAAATGTGTACCATACAGATCACACAGTTCAGGAGGCTGGTACACAAGGCATAAAAACACTGACCTTTTATTTCCTAGTATATATTTTTATTTATAAAATGCCCCGTATTTCTTTTCTGAAAGTATCTGACGTTGACAGGTGCAGAAAGGCAATTATAATTCACATATTGGATTATGCACTAAGTTTTATTCTATACAATGGAACTTCTTTCCCATTCAGATTTTACATATGGGTAATCAAGTCCCATAGATCTCATTCACTTAGTCACTGCTACTGAGTTGGTCCTGAATGGTTCTGACTCTCTCTCAGACTTTTGAAACTATAAATAGGAATGGGAGGCGACAATCTCTTTTCCCCTTGGAATCTGTGGGGGATTTGAACTACAAGAGATGGCCACCTTTGTGTTAGAGCTGCAACTTGCCATGAACTCCCTTCCATAGGTACAGAGCCTACTTTTTTTAATTCTACAGTCACAAAAGCACATCACACTGACCTTGTGTGTTTGCGAATGGTGATGAGTTGGGGGAGGAAAGCAATTTCCAACTCCTCAAGTAAAGATCCTTTCAATGTCAGTATTTTAACCTAGAAGTTTTACACAGCGCATTCCGGAGAACTTTACTTTGGAAAATGTCCCCCAAGAAAGAGAGAGAGAGAGAAAGAAAGAAAGATTCCAAGATCAAAGATGTCTGAGAAATGCTTCACATTGTATTTTCTTGGCAGTAATCGGCACTATGTATTTGCATGTTAAATGCTTTCTGTGCTGTAAAAGAAATGTATCAATTTAGATAGAATTGAACCCAGGGCTAAGAAGCAGGAAATACAAAGGTGGGGTGGGGATTCTCCTCTCAACTGGTTTCTTTAAATTCCCTTTAGGAAAGACCATGCTGTCCAATCTGGTACCTTAATAATCAGAGCATATAGATATAAACAGTATTAGTAACAAGGAGATAATAATAGTAGATACCATTTTCAGAGCTTATCATATGCTTCATAGTATTGAAGCACTATCCTTATTCATTGAATAATTACAGCAACACCAAGAGTAGGTACTATGATCCTCAAATGACAAATGAGGAAACTGAGGTACAAATGAAGGTTAACTTGCTTGTCTGAAGCATGTTAACACCACCAACCTTAAAGCAAGGCTTTGGACCATTGCCATTCTGTGCTGTGGCTTACATCACATTTGACATCTGGGAAAGTGCAGCTAAATGAATTTCACATTTTTTTTATGCATAATAACAACAAGGAAGCCCAATGGTAGAATGAATGCATTTGCCAAAGTGCTCAGCTAGTGGCCATTGAAAGACCATGATTTGAACTCATAACGTGCTTCATGAGAAAAAGATGTGGCAGTTTGCTACAGTTGCATTTACAGTCGTAGGGACTCTACGCAGCAGGTCCTTGGCCTTGAGGATCACTCTGAGTTGGAATTATTTCAATAGCAACTGGTTTGCGCTGAATGTCACTTTTAAAAAAAATATTAACTATGAAGATCACCAGATGGAAAAATGCTAAAAAGTTAGATTTAATTCATATTAAAAGGATCTCGGGTCTTATTGTTGTTGTTCTTCTTCTAGTATGTGAAGGCGTTTTTCTCTGAAAGGTTCATATTTGTCTAGGGGTTTTGTAGATTGTCAATTTGTCCCCCAAAAGGGGGAAATAAACAACTTTACCAACTTACTTTCATATATTATAGCTGGTAAATTAGTTTCCAAATTCAGCAACCACAAAAACAGAATTACTTCTATTAATCATCAGAGGAAATGCTAAGAGTACTAGGCTAGATACTGACTTTGCAGAAAAGAATGCCTTTAATCAGATCTACGTCCATATTATAAAAAATGTATTCAGAGCATTGATTTATCTGAAGATTAACTTTAAAAATTTTAACTTTCAAAGATTAACTTAGAAAGTCATAACAATGTATTGTAGCTCATTTTTTGAACAAAGAGCATAGATACATAAATATTTTTTATCTTTTCTATTTATTTATTATTGAGGATGAAAAGAATTCCCTGAAGTAGAATGAGTGTGAGTTAACAATAGGAGAGGCACCAAACTCTAGTTACATGTGACAATGTCAAGATTAGAGCCCAAATTTCCTCCTAGTTCTGGATTCTTTCAACAACTGTTTTCCTTTAAATAAAAGAAGTTATTGTGGTGGTGTCTTCTCTTAATATACCCTCAAACAAAAATAGAGTGTGAGAGATATACTATACTGATTAGGGGGAAATATCTCTTTATCTCTCTGTATATATAGATGTGATGTGCTGTCGAGTCACGTAAGACCCATAGCGACTCTATGTACAGCAGCTCTGAAGCCTGCCCTGTCCTGAGCTAGTCTAATTTCAACATACCAACCCCCATTGCCCCAGTTACTGTTTCAGTCCATATCATCCAGAGTCTTCCTTTCCTGTGCTATAACTCTACCCTTCTGAGCATGATGTCCTTCTCCAAGGACTGGTCTCTCCTGCCCACATGCCCAAAGAATATGAGACAGAGCTTCAAAATCTTAGCCTACAAGGAAAAGCTTGGTTTCACCTTCTCCAAGACAGACCTATTTGTTTTCTTGGACCATGGTATGTTCAAGACTCTTCTCCAGGACCACAGTTTGAAAGCATCCATTCTTGTGTCATTCTTACTAATTGTCCTGTTCTCTGATGCATAGCAAGTAATTGGCAAGGCCATCACCTGGATCAGGAGCACCTTAATGTGTATCTCTACCTCTATCTATCTCAATATCATGAAGGCAAAAATCCTCACCACTGGATCAACAAGCAACATCATGATAGATTCAGAAACGATTGAAACTTTAAAAACTTATCTAAATTGGATCCACAATCAGCATCTTTGGAATAAGCATTTAAGAGATCAAGAGCTGTATTACATTGAGAAAGTCTGCACTCATGAAGTTTACCAAATTACTAAGGAGCAATGATGTAAGGTTGAAGAGTAAGGTGTACCTGATTCAAATCATCGGCTTTTCAATCACTTGCCATGAATAAGAATTATAGAAGAAGAATTACGGCCTTTGAACTGTAATATGAACTTATAACACTGTATGTATGTTCTGTTCCATTATATGTATGCATATACATGCATATATATGTGTGTGTGTGTATGTATATACATGCATATAAATATATATGTATGTGTATCAGCAGTCAGGAAATCAAAAAACGTATCACGATGGGAAAGTCTGCTGTTAGGGACCTCTCTAAAGTACTCAAGAGCAACGGTGTCTCTCTGGAGACTAAGGTGCACTTGATACAGCCCATGGTCTTTGCAATCGCTTGTTATGCATCAGAGAGTTGGACAATGACTAAGGAGGACAGAAGGAGAGTTGATGCCTTTGAGCTGTAGTGCTGGAGAAGAGTACTGAATGTACCATGGACTGCCAGGAAAATAAACAGATTCATCTTGGAGAGGATTAAACCAAGCAACTCCTTGGAGGCAAGGATTCTGGGGCTTCGTCTGACATACTTTGGACATGTTGCCAGGAGAGACGGGTCCTTGGAGAGGGACATCATGCTTGGGAGGGTGGAGGGACAGCGCAGGAGGGGAAGACCCTCTATGAGATGGATTGATTCGGTGACTGGGGTAATCGGGATGGGCGTGTCAGAAGCAGTGCGGTTGGCGCAGGATAGAGCAGGGTTTAGGGCTGTTGTGCATAGGGTCACTATGAGTCGCAAACGACTCGATGGCACATAACAATAACAACAACAATATATATGTATGAACATGCATATGTGTGCATGTATATGTATATATAACATGTTTTAGCCAGACAGGTGATGAATTTAAATCTTAGCTGATTTTATTATTTTAGCTGGTTTTCTGTAGCTCCAAGTATCTAATTTCTAAAATAAAATTAGTTATATATTCTAAATAGCCTAATTATGATGATTAAATGGGACAATTTTCTAGAGGGTCTAGATAAAAATAAAATAAACCCCTCTTAACATTGAGCCAGTTGTGACTCCTGGCAACCGTATAAGAGAGAGTAGAACTGTCCCATAGAATTTTCAAGTCCATGAGTTTTTACAAAAGCAGACTGCTATATATTTATCACATAGAGCAAATGATAGGTTGAAACTACCAACCTTTAGGATAAATATCCAAGTGCTTAAGCACTGTTCCACCTAACCAGTGTGCTAAGATAATGTATCTTAATTATCTGGAATAAAGGTGGTATTTAACAAATATAGCATACAGGACATATTCATATATAATACACTCATATTAATAATAAATAAACATTCATAGAACAGTTATGGAACACATAAAAACTAACGTTCTAGGAAGTTTTATGGTTTTTAACAGAATACCGATTGGCAGCTTCAGGATGGATGGTGAAGAGATTGAGATTATTCACAGCTTTAGTTTGCTTGGCTCCACAGTCAACACTCATGACACCAGTAGCCAGGAAATTAAAAGAAGTATTGCAATGGGAAAGTTTGCTGTTAGGGACCTTTCCAAAGTTCTGAAGAGCAATGGTGTCTCTGGAGATTACGGTGTGTCTGATACAGACCATGGTCTTTGCTATCACTTGTTATGCATCAGAGAGTTGGACAATGACTAAGGAGGATAGAAGAATTGATGCCTTTGAGCTGTGTGGCTGGAGAAGAGTTTTGAGAATACCATGGACTGCTAGGAAAACAAACAGATTCATCCTGGAGAGGGTTAAACCAGGCCGCTCCTTGGAGACAAGGATTCTGAGGCTCTGTCTAACATACTTTGGACATGTTGTAAGGAAGGACCGGTCCTTGGAGAGGGACATCATGCTTGGTAGGGTGGAGGGACAGCACAGGAAAGGAAGATCCTCTATGAGGTGGACTGATTCAGTGACTGGGGTAATTGGGATGGGTGTGCGATTTGCACAGGATAGAGCAGAGTTTAGGGCAAGTTGTACATAGGGTCACTATGTGTTTGCAAGTGACTCGACGGCACATAAGTACAAAGACATAATATGTGCACTATTTGTACAGAACTATTATCTCTTTCTTAGTACTATCTAGTTGGAACCGACTCATGGCAGGTTTTCACAGGCTGTAAATTGCACAGCAAGAGATTGTCCATATTTCTTCAGCAGAGGAGCTAGTAGATTCAAATCACTCAGACATCAGTCAAAGGCATGATTTTGAACATCTGACTAGATAAGATGGCACTTTCTTCTGTGCAATTTTAATCCGCAGAAATGCAATGGAGGGCAAATATGAGTCATTTCCAATATGATGGCAATGAGAGAAAGGAAGAGAGCATCACAATTTGGTATATAAAACAAATATTTTTTACAACACAGAAAAAGAAAACAATGAGTTCCAGCTGCTTCTATAAAGGATTCTGTATAAGAAAAATGTTTTCCAGAACATATGATAAAGGAGTGACATTGTCAAGTGACAGTGTGACATCATGATTTTTTCTAGGAAGAGAGCAGTGGTCCCAGGTGGACCTTAGGTACAGCGGCCTGGGGGACTTTATCTAGTCTGCTTTGTCTTACAGGCTGCCCTTAGCATCCACGGCATGTGTGGAGGACCTATGCTTGGCTTGTTCACACTAGGGATTGTATTTCCTTTTGTGAACTGGAAGGTAAGAATCCCATTTTCATTCCTTAAGATACACAAATGAAAGTGAGTGGCAATTTTCTCTCTCCTTTCTTTTCCCCATAATCTCCTTGGAAAGTTTCTTTGTCTTTGCTAAGAAAAGAATAGCCACTTCTTCTCCATAGAGAAACCAAACAAGTCCAGAACCCTCCTATCTCTGACTTCAGGGAAGCCTTTAAAAACTCAAAAGAAGAATATTTTGTGAAATATGAAAATTTCTTTGCCCACAAAGTTTTATTTGAACACAGCAACTATAATGGTGAAAATATTGTCATTGGCTGTTACTGTGAAAGACTTGGGTACTTGTGGAAGAAACTGAAAGGTATGTAAAACTTAAGTATTTTTTTTTCTGGGGAACTCTGGAGGCCCAGCTTGTCAAGTGCTGCTTTGCAAAGCCAATGGCTATGTCTCTTTGATGGTCTGAATCCAGAGCAGTTCCAAAGGAGAAAGATGTGCAGTATTCTTATATACAATTTTTTACTTTAGAAACCCATGGAAGGTTACCAGTAAGTCAATTTTATTTGATAACAAGATATTTGCTGAACCTTGGTCTAGACCAAGGTATATAATCGCATAGGTTGCTTTATTTTTATCAATACACTCCTGAACCTATCTATGCCACAGAGATATTTTGGATAGAGAAGCTAACACGTGTGTGTGTGTGTGTGTGTGTGTGTGTGTGTGTGCGCGCGCGTGCGTGTGTGTGTTATTTTCCTCACATATAACATCAACCTAACAAGAGCATTCCAAATTCAGCTCTTACTTTACCAGGGCTCTTTTATCTGCTAGATTGTTCTGTTTCCTTTCTGGAGAAATAACTAGTTGGCTTTTCTACTATTTCTCAACAAATACATTTCTTAAATGTCAGGCTAGTAAATCCACTTGCTGATATTTGGACTCACACAAAATGTTTCAAACATTAAGAATGTGGGAACTCCACCAGAACTACTTAATAAGAGAGATGGAAGAACTTTTATCTAATAACTGTCAATAAAATATGACCACATTTTTTCCATTATGTGATGTTTCCCTGAACTTTAAAACCTTAAAGAATTGATGTTTCAACAGCTTTTGAAATTATAAAAGTCAATGAGAGAATTTTCTTTTTGTTTAAAAACAGAGAGAATATGGCCACTGTAATTTTGTGTGGTATTTTCATGTAAGAAACATATTACTCCCAAATAACCATGTACTGTGATGACTAGGGAGCTCTTGTGGCCTAGTGGTAAGGAGTTGCACTGTCAACCCAAAAGCACATGATTCGAATCCACCAGCTGCTCCAAACATGGATAATCTCCTTCAGTGTGATTTGTAGCCTCTTGAAACCCACTGGAGAGTCATCTATTGAATTCATTCTGACTTGATGGCGCATCACAACACAACATTGTAATAGTTGGAAGGAAGACATTTGAGTGAGATATTTCCAGCACGTGGGACCAAGAAAGATGGATCAATGGCCAGAATCGAAAAGATTCTCTGTATTATTGTTCTCTCAACAGAATGTTTTTTCCCCCAAATGGTATGACTTATTTTCTTGATTAAGGGTGCATTTGGAGGTCTTCTCACTGGAATCACCTTGTCATTTTGGGTGGCCATCGGTGCTTTCATTTACCCTGCACCAGATTCCAAGACACGGCCCTTGCCTTTGTCAACGGACCAGTGTATTCTGTCAAATGTTACAGAATCATTTCCTCAAGTGCTGCCAAACAGGTATGCTCGGTTTAAAGCCTGTGCTTTAAGAGTGGGCCAGGAGGTTAGAAGTAGGTGAAACCTATAGGAATAAGTCTGAGGAATAAGTCTATCTTGCTCTTCTGTGAGGATCAGTGTGTCATTACACAGAACAAGAGAAAGCCCCTTGGAGTTCAAGCTTTTTACCGATACTTGTTGCTCTGTGTTGAGATGTGTAATACTGAGGGGGAAGCAATGTGAATTAGGGGTGAGAGTGTAAAGGAGAAAAAAAAAGTGTAGTGTTGGAAAATGAGTGAGTGTGAGTAGCATGTTGTTGTTGAAAAGGGTAAAAATGATCTAGAAAAAGTGGTCTTGAAATCATGGGAAAAAAACTCAAAACCTATTGCAGACATTAGGAATTAGTTCCAAAATCCACAAAAGTGAAATTAATCTTATTTTTTTTTCCCCTATTAGCTTTCATTTCTCTCTCAACTTTCTTTTTCTGTTTTGCTCTATCCAAACCAACACTGCTTTTATTTTCTTGATGGGTCTTTTGATACCTTGGCTTGTTCTTGTTAATCGTTGTTAGGTGCCCTCAAGTCAACCATGACTCATAATGACCCAGTGAACAACAGATCAGAACCTTGTCCTATCCTAAGCCATCATCATGATCTCGGTCATGCACAAGTCCATTTAAACCGTCACTCCGTCAATCCTGAAAAGACCTTAATAAGCTTTCTACACCAATTATCCTTCCACTTATAAAACCTGCTTTTGAGGCATTTTGAACCCTATTTGGAATAATGAGATTTTAATCCCCATTTTGAATAACGAGACACAGAGTCTAGTATTTCCTGAAGTAGTCTATATCTTCTCTAGGCCGTGTGTAAGCAATCGTATTTGACTATTTGATGTTCATTCATCCTGTTCTATTCTGTTCTCTTAACTCTTGTAGTCTACTCCATTCCATTATATCATATTCTGTTGTATTCTTTCATATTCCATTCTCAACTTTTGCTTTTTCTTACCTTTCTACTAGACAATAACCTTCCTGAACTCATGTGATATGGCCGATTTCTTGCAAGAAGGAATGCAATAGGTTACAAGCACTGAAAAATGTAATTATCTTTTCTCCCACTCACTCCCTTTCTTTTTTCCAGAAATGAGGACCCTTCTTTATCGTTATTTCATAGAGCAATTCTACAGGCAGAAAGTCTCTTTACTGATGATGCCACCACAGAGTCCTGAAATTTTGATTCTAAACTCATGTCACATAGATTGTAGTGTGTAGCATATGCAGCTTATTTATAAAGGAGTTCTAGCACACTTTCATTTGCATTCTCATATGATAGTAAGACAGAGGAAACGTTTTTAAATGGTAGGCAGACCATCTTCACAGAACATCCACTTTAAAACTAAAAACAAAGCAACCACATCACTTTGAGGTTGTTGACTCAGGAGAATGCAACCACCTGTGTATCACAGTTTTTATTTCTTACTGATTGTAAGTGGGCCCTTTCCCCTGAGATACAGAATTAAGCTCATTGCTTTTGTTTCTTGTTTGCTAAAATCTAACAGCATCTTTAGGAGGCTCTGGTGATATGGCAACAAAAGCAGAATTTATCTAAAAAAGGGCAAGCTCTATGTAAACTTACATTAGCACTATCTGGACACCGTTACTTTAAATCAAAACAAATTGAAAACTCACCTGGGATTGAGGTTAGCTCTGCTTCTTTCTCTTTGAGAGATAGCCAGACCACCCTTTTTGTCTTGTTTGCCATCTCCTGACTTCTCTGTCAGTGGTGATGATGAACTTATTGGTACTCTGGAGAATGAAAAGTAGATCACAACACAGAAAACAGAATAGGTGATCTTGGATATAGTTTAACACTCGGTTATCTCCCTCGACCTCTGCATTTCATTTAGTATAAGGCCATTTTCTCCTCTATCAATCTATTTATACAGACTCAAATTCACCACACTATTTCTTCTCTGTCTACATATAGACTCTTTGCTTAGAATGCTAAATCTTGCTCCTACAAACCCCTTCCTCTGCTAACCATTCTTTTTATATGAAGTGAGATAATATCTCAAACATTAGTCTTTGTTTGCTTCACTTTCTGAATGCTCCTATAATCTTTTGTTCCTATTCTATTAAAGTGTTTTCACACCATTTTAGCATTATCTGCTAGACTTGACTTATCTGGGTATCTCCAGTGCCTGTCACTATTCTTAGTACTAAATCATGGCTTAAGTGAATGTTTTCTAAATAATTGACACAGAAAACTGGAAGTCACAGCCCTCACTGCAGTGCCCAAGTTACAAACATTCAATTTATGGATAACTAATATTTTCTCTTGAATGCTATGTAAGTTTGCCTTTAAAATTTTTAAGTCAGCCTTTATTCTCAACAACATCTTCCTCAGAATCAGCTTCACTTACTGATCTGGCAGCTTTTTATTCCTCAAAAAGTAAGTTCATGGGCCTTTTCTTCCCCTAATTATGTCATCCTGAGTTGGAGTGGACTCGTAGCTGACCCTCCAGTGGATTTTTAGGGGGTTGTAAATACGAGAGGAGATTGCCCATCTCCTGCAGAGTGGCTGGTGGAACCACCACGGTTCTCTTTCCTTCCATTGAACAAGTCTAAATAAGATTTGCATGTGTCTGCTCTGACTTACCTACATATTCAACTTAAAGACACACTTAAGAATAGATCAAGGAGCTTTTGTGGCAAAATCCACAGTGAGCTGTGCTGTTAGCCCAAAGGCTGAGTCTCTGGAGGTTCTAACCCCCATGTGTTTCCACAGGCAAAATATAGGCGGGTTCCTCGTTAGGATATACAGCCTCAGTAGTGAGTTTTGAGGAATATATCTTGTTCATAATTTGGGGAGTGTTTCTACTTAGGGATTGAGTCAGGGATTAGTTGAATTGTGTGACTAATCCAGCATAGCTAATCTAGATTCAAGGAGCTCGGGTAGCCTAATGGTAAGGAGCTGTGCTGCCAGGCCAAAGTCAGATAGAATCTATCAGCTGCTCCATTGGAGAGAAATATGGGCAGTGTCCTCCTGTGTGACTTAAAGCCACTAAATCCCCCCACTGTATGGTGAATTATGATTCAGTTCTGACTCGATGGTGACAAAAATTAAGATTCAACAAAAATTATTAACATATGAAGGAGTGGAAAATTATACTTTGGGTTTTAAAAAGATACTACTAAGTCCTAAAGAGTCACCGTGACTTACAACCTCAGAATTTATATAACTAATGATGTTTTCCTTCACAGACCTGCCATAGCAGATGCATGGTATTCAGTGTCTTACCTTTACTACAGTGCAGTGGGCTGCCTAGGATGTATTTTTGCTGGAATGCTCATCAGCTTCATAACAGGTTGGCTATATAAATTTCTTACTTTGGGGTTAAGGAACACATAATAGCTATCCTATTTTTTCGACACATTGGTATAAATTTGGTTCATCATGAGGTATGCCTGCTCTATCCTACATAATGTATTTATTATCTAGGACACATTTATTATCTATATGCAATATCATTTATGCCATCTCACAATCATCTAGTCTTCGATCAACGCTTCAAACCTATTCTCAAGATGATTTTTAAATTCAGGTGGGACAGACTCGAGATTATATTTTGGTTCCTTTGGACTTGTTTTCATTTTCTTTGGCCTCAATTTGAACTTACACATGGGTAGTTGATGGTCTATTCAATAGTCTGCACCTGGTCTGGTTATGCCTGCCAATATGGAGCTTTTCCACTGGTTATTTTTCCACAGATGTAGTCAGTCTGATTCCTAAGTAATATATGAGGTGAGTTCCCTGTTTAAAGTTACTGTTTGTGTTGTTATTGTTTTTAAAGGGTATTTGCAGTGAGTAAAGAATTGAGTATCCAAAATGTGATCTTTTTATTTACATCATCATGTCTGTCACCATGTCTGTATTAACTACCCTTCCATCTTCATTATATCCAACTTTTACATCCCAGTCATCTGTTATCTGTAATGAATCTTGATTGCATGTTTGGTCAATTTTAGACTGCAATATTTGATAAAAATCTTCAATTTCCACCTCTTTGGCTTCAGCTATGAGTACATGCTTGAATAATACTCCTATTAATAGGTTTTTCTCGTATGTTGTTGGCCCTCTGCTGCCTTAAACCCTAGGCCAAGCCTGGCTTGCCTGGATCCTGGAGGCAGAGTAGTCCTTTGCGTCTGAAAACTGCCACAACACCCGTGCAAACAGCCTTTTTTTTGTATACGTATGCATAATAATCTATTACTCACAACATTGTACTTCAGAACTTGAAATCGTCCTTCACACTAGGGATTCAACACCACTCGCGCAGGAGAGGAAGGCCCTCTATGAGGTGGATTGATTGATTCAGTGACTGGGATAATTGGAATGGGAGTGTCAGAGACAGTGCGATTGGCACAGGACAGAGCGGAGTTTAGGGCTGTTGTACATAAGGTCGCTATGAGTCGCAGGCGACTCGACGGCACATAACAACAACAACAACAATTATTTAAGAAGTGGACACCAATCCTTCTTCTTCCTAGTCTATCTTAATCTGGAAATTCTACTAAAATCTATCCACCATGGGTTACCATTGTGGCATTTAACACATCAGTGGCATAGATTCCAGTACCACAGCAACTCACAAGTTACCCCTATACAGCAAACTGACTGTACTAATTAGAACATTGAATTCTCCCAGTACAACAGACAGATTAGTGTTGTACCTCTAATAGTAATTCAGTTATACAAATATCATATTACCAGATCCTTTTGAAGATACTGGTCTATTGTTGTGGTAGGATTTGCTCCTGGGTGAGTGTTGAAGTATTCCAGCTAAGATTCATTGGCTGACATTGTTGGATAATGTGCCAGACATGAATATTAAGGTCACAGTGAAATCTCTACTGGATCGTAGATGCTTTATACAAGGCCTGAGGGCCCAAAGGGCTGTGTGATAGAAAAAGGCCTGAGTTCCAGGTTAAAGCTGCTCTAAAATAAGAGGCATCTCCCCCTAATTCAGCAAGTAGCAGCCAGTGATAACTTCTCCCCTGTCCTTTATATTCCTTTAGGGTCTGGAATGAAGAAAGAATATGGCAGTTGCCCTACCCGGACCCACCCCCTCTCCAAGCTTGATCACTTCCTGAGAAACCTTATAACATCTAAGCTAGTCATATCAAAGATCAAACCAGACAATGGATCCTGATAAGAGTCTGAGCCTGATCAAAATAGCCCAAAGCTAACTTCACTAACAACTCACATTCTGAGAAATACTATCTTAGTCCTCCCCAGAATCCCTATAAGAAGGATGCCCACGCCTCCCCCTCCAGACTGCCCAAGCCATTCCAATCCTGTCTGCCTGCTATGCAGCCAGGTCCCTTGGCAGGCCTCTCAATAAAGGGCTGTGCAATAAAGACCTTTTTGTTTCTGGGGGAGGGGATGAATAAGAGGCACCAGTCACCAAAGGGGCTGTGTGATAGAATATGCATGACTTCGGGGTTGAAGCTGCTCTTAAATAGGAGGCCCTAACCACCAAAGGAGCTGTAGGAGCTGTGTGATTAAAAAAGGTCTGACCTCCAAGTTGAAGTTATATGAGGTCAGCTTTAATATACTAGAAGCAGAGGAGACTCAGATTATCTCCTTAGTATACTTTCTAGGCTTATGACCTCTCTATAGCCAGAGGCTTCACTGCAAGTTATTTTTCATATATGTGCTTATTATCCATACTCTAAGCCATAGTCTGTCTCACAGTTCAGTGTTTTCTGTGTACCAAACCCTTTAAGACAGTGGTAGGAGGATGTGTAAAATAATAGGCTTAAGATACACTTGCTACTCTGTGTCCTTAAAATATACATTTTAATGGAATAAATTATTGCTATTCCATCCTATCACTATCATTGTCTACTCTGAAGCAAGAACCAATGGGAAGTTATAATTTCATGATTGTTGTTGTTAATTGTCATCAAGTCGAGCATGACTTATAGCAACTCTATGAAGAAAAGCCTTGCAGCCTTTCTATAATTATCATTTCATGATTACAAAATTGATAATATAAATGACTAATTTGCATTGATTGTGTACCAAAAATGGTATATGTTAATGCCAGTACTTTATTTCTCTGAAAAATGTATCACCAGATACACATTTAAAGTTAAGCAAACCTTGTGAATGCTAAGAAGTAGAGTCCCTTAGTGGTGTATATGGTTGATATGTTCTGTTGCTAACCAAAAGGTTGTGTGATTGAGTCTACCCAGAGAATTCTTTAAGAAATCAGCCACTGAAACATCTATGAAACATAGATCTACGTTACTCTGAAACACACGGAGTGATCATGAATTGGAATGAGTTTGATAGTGACTGATTTGGATGATAAGCACTTCTTTTGAAAATGTGTCCTCAAATATTGTTCTTTACTGTATTTAGATGAAAAGGCTTGAAATTGTCTGACCTAACAAATTATATTTATTTAACAAACTAGCTTCCTACCCTTTGAGCAGTAACCGGTTTCTTCTAACCAGGAAGGCTAAATATTCAGTCTTATATTAAGAAGACGCCTATTTTCCAATCCTGCCAGGCCATATTCTTAAGGAAGTGTCTGAAGTGTACCATACCTTCAAATCTATTTGTCCTTTATTTAATAGGTCGCCAGGATGGCAAAGATATTCCACCATTATTAATTAGACCAGTATGCAATTTATTTTGCTTTTGGTCCAAGAAATACACAACTCTATGCTGGTGTGGAGTTCAGCATGACACTGCGACAGACCAGGTAAGCTGGTGTTTTGATATCTCAGACATCAGTGTTTGATTCAAAATTATTCCCTTTGCTCTGTAAACCAACTTTAAAGATGAGTGTGGGAAGGGAAGACAGTGAATACTGGAATATAAAAGAACCTGAGCCTCAGCTGTAGAGTCATCTACCTGATTAGTTTTCAAGCATGAAACTCCGCCAACATTGCAAGTGATCAGTTTCCGTTTCTTTCAACTTCTTGCCATATTTTTGTGGAAATATAGCAATGGTTACTAAAAAGTAACAAAATAGAGGCATGCTGTTGTTATTAGTGCCATGGAGTTGACCATGACTCATAGCCCCCTTAAGACCATTAGATGTAAATCCTCACCTTCCTATCCTGTGCCATTGTTGATTTACTGGAGTCCATTGTGATAATCAATCCATCTCTTTGAGCTCTTCCTCTCTTTGGATGACCTTCCACTTTTCAAGAGCTGGCCTCTCCAAACAACCTGCCTAAAATATGTGAAACAAAGTTTCACTCTTGCCTGTTTGCACTTCTTCCAAAACATACTTGTTTGTTCTCTTGGCAGTCCATGTGAAATTCAGTACTCTTCTCTAAAGCATCAATTCTTCTCCAATCATCCTAAGTTATGATCCAACTTTCAGATGCATAAAAAGTAATAGAAATGTTCATGACTTGAGACAAGTTCTCTTCAATCTTTGAAATTATATCATTGCTCTTTAACACCGTGGGGAGGTCCTTGGTAGCAGAGTTTCACAATTCCATGCATCCCTTGATTTCTTGACTGCTGGTACAAAGAGTCTTGATTGTGGAGTCAAGAAAATGAAATCATTGACAATTCCAATATTCTAGTATGAATACATAGTCTATTTTTTTTTTAAATTAACAAATCTTGTAAAAAGCTTGTACTTTAGGGTCAAACAACATGGATTATAAGCTCTGTTTTACTTTCCTTGTGTTAAATTATATATCTGGACTTCATCTCTTCTTATATGAAAAATGGGACATGAGAGGAGATGAAGGTCATTCAGAATGAGGTGGATCCAATACCTGTGGTTCCATGCAGGTGTAAGTATAATTTAAGGTTTGATGAAGGATTTTAGAAACAGAGAAGTTGCAGGATGTGCATTGCCCTCCACCTTAGATTTTCTTGATCCCGTTGGGAAGCACATTTTGTCCAGACAGGGCTAGCATCATCCCAGTACAGGTCTAATCAACCAAAGACCATCAGGAGCAGCTTACATTCTGCCAAAAATCTGATGTGTTGAGTCAATGCAGGGAAAGAAGGTGTGTCCGAGGAACCAGAGAATGCCTCCCTCAGCAAGGGGAAGATGGACGTGATTTTCTTAAGGTTCAGCTTCTTGTTCAGAAGAACAAAGCTGTATGGAGCAACGTTGATAAGAGAGCAGCTCTCACTGCAAGAGAAGGGTGTGATCATATCTGCCAATCGAGCGAGCTCTTGTGAGGAGCAATGTCTTTTGTTATCTTCCAGCTCTGTCTGTTTTGCACCTGATTGTGCAGGGCTGTGCTTTTTGTATTTCTTTTTTAGTTAGAGCTTATTCATACTCCTTCCATTCTAGGCATTTTATACTTTCAGAACTCTAAGAGAAGGACTCCTAGTCCTTATCCCTTAAATGTTTTTAAGTTAGTTTTTATCCTCAAAAGACACTATGCTTTTGTTGTTAGAGTAAAGTACAACTCATAGCAACCATATGAAGAATAGATCTGATCCCTGTCCAATTAGGCACCATTCTTATCATCCCCACACACTTGAGCCCACTGCTGCAGTCACTCTATCCATTTATCCATCTCATTGAGGGTCTTTCTCTGATCCTCTACTTTTTCAAGAATGATGTCCCTTTCCAAGGAACATCTCCTAACATATGCCCCAAAGAATATAAGCTGAATCTTTGCCATCTTTGCCTCGAAGAAACACTCTGGTTGCACTTTCTCCAAGATATATCTGCTTACTCTTTGGCAGTCTGTGAGCATAATCCATTCTCTTCTCCAATACCACTACTCAAAGACATAAATTCTTTTTCTGTCATCCTTATTCACTGCCCAACTGTGAGATATATAGTAAGTGATTGGGAAGACCATGCTTTGAATTAAGCAGAGTTTAGTCTTTAAACTGACATTATTGCTCTTCAAAACTTTGGCTACTGATAGCAGACTTTCACAATATTATGTGTCTCCTGATCTCCTGACTGCTGGTAGCAAGGGCATTTTGACTGTGGATCCAAGTAAGATGAAATCTTGGGCAATCTCAATCTTTTTCTCCATCTATTTTGATGTTATCTTTGATCCAGTAGTGAAGATTTTTGTTTTGAGACATGCATATCAAGGAAAGGCGAATGTAATACTGCAATTAGGAGCCACCTTGAATATGGTTCAGAATGGGCAGACTGGGAACAAGTTTGGATTCTGAACACAAGTGGGTGAGGCTATGTCTCCAATTGGACATTTTGGTTGGGACTGAGCAAAATTTGTAATGTGCCAGTTTAAGATTTATGAATGCAGGTGAAGAAGGTTCTGAAGTCTCAATAAGGCAACAGTGGTTTGATAAGAAGGCAGTTTGCCATTGCAAGAATATGGAAACATACCAAATATCCAACCACAAACAAATGGGTTGAGAAATTATGCTACATTCACACAATGGAATACTATGCAGCACACAGGAGCAATGCTTTTGTAAATTACTACCTAACTTGGGAGGAACTGGAGAGAATTATGCTGAGTGAACTAACTTAATCCCACAAGGATAAATATTGTATAAACCATTATTGTAGAATAAGCATAAAGATCCATGGGGGATGGGAGAGTGTGGAAGCAGAGGGATGCAGATGTACAGGAGTGGAGAAGATTAATCCATTTCTCCCTATCTTGATGTTTCACATGTTAATTCCACACTTCTACCTTAAAAATTCATTGAAGTGCATGCATTTAGCCCACTACTGGTGAGAGTAAAGTACTTTGGCTCTGGAAGACACTTTGGCTCTATATATCAAAAGTGAATAAGGTTTCTATCCCATCAAGGAATCATTTGTAAGAACACATTGGGGAGATATGGAAAACTTTCATTATAGGAAAGACTTTGATTATAAGACTACACTCAATGAGAGATGGAAAAGTTTTGGCACATGACATAATAAAGCTCAAGAATTTTTATTTCTTTTATTTTTTTAAATTTTTGCTACTCTGGTGGCCTAGTGGTGAAGAACTATTCTGCCAATCTGAATCCACCTATTGCTTTGAGGGAGAAATATGGGAAATCTCCTGTGCGATTTATTGCCAGTGAAAACCTGCTGAAGAGTTAGCTATGGGTTGGTTTGGACTTGCTGGTACCTAACAAGAAGCACATTATTGGAAAGAGCTCCTCCATCCACTGAGGCAGACCTACCCGGGTAGGGCATAATAAAGTGGCCCACTGCTGAGGAAAAGGTTAATGGTTTGATTCCACCCAGAGGTGCCACATAGGCATTTCTGTGCCTTGCACAAAAATTCAGTCACTGAAAACCATGCAGAGCAGTTTCCCATTCACCATAAATAATTTGGTTTGAATTGAGGTATCCCAGTGAGAAAGTACTATGGGTCAGAATTTTACTGCTTTTGCAACGTAAATTCCTTTCAGGGGACAGACCAAGAAAGAGTTTCTCAAGTTATTCTACTAATCAGTACTGCCTTGCTAATTCTTGTCTTTCTATTTTTCTTAGGAAAACCTTGAGAATGACAGTGCCTGGAAACAAGGAACTGAATCCGTCTTACATAATGGACTCAGACAAGAAAGCCTAGCCAATGTCCCTGGCTATGATCCCAAGGACAAAAGTTACACCAATATGGCTTTGGAAAAGATTACTCACTTTTAAGGGAATAAGCACAGTAACATACACATACACTCCTTCCACAAACTTAGTTTCTGTAGGTTAGTAGACTCGGGTATTTACCACTGTTAGAAATCAGAGACATCTCCAATGTCTATTTATACTTATTTATAACTACAAAGAGACTAAATTTAGTATTTTCCAGAATATTCTTTGGGAAAGCCCAACTTTCAAATAAGAAAACAACCAGCTAAAAACAAGCCTTTCCTAACCTGATTACTTTGACTTAGTAAAGAGTATGTTTCCTCATCATACAGGAACAAATCTCTTTGGTTCACCTCCTATTGAATTTCAATTTTTTAATCATATCTCCTAAAGTCTGGATAGGATAGGAAAGGATAATATGTTGAATTCTTTTTGGCTTGTGCTAGAAAACAAAGACTTGCTTCCTTAACTCCTAGCCTCCACCCCAGACTGACTAACTGACTATCATCTCTCTCTCTCTATCTCTCATCTATATCTCTCTATCTATCTATCTAATCTATAATCTAGAGAGAGATTGTGCTGCCCCATTCTGTAGCTGCAGTGGGAAACTTTAACTCTTTTTTTATTATAATCCAAACCCTACATTAAGTCCTCTTGCAGTCTTTCTTATTCCTATCATGACCCTAATCAAACCTAAAAGTAATCATCATCATCATCATCATCTAGGAGTAGAGCTACTTTTACTGACTTGTCAAGTGAGTGGAAGCAAATGTAACTAACTAAATACTGCATTCCCATTTTTAGTGAATTATTTCTTTCGTTATATAACTTTAAAGTTAAATCTTGACTTTCATGCTCGAGATCCCTGGAGTTTTTCTCCAGTGTTGAACAAAGGAGTGAATATCTTATAAAAATTAGTTGGAGTAACATGCTATTTAAAAAAAATCTTACAGATTACCAGTTTTACCAGCCAGAAGGAGAATGCCTTAAATGTATAAGGAGAAAAATTGTATGTAAAGAATTTATTATTAGAAAATGAAGGTATAAAGAGGGAAACATTCAATAAAGAGGTTTTAAAAAAGCATTTGGAGATTATAACCCAGGTACATTGTTTTCTGTATAACCATTCTCAATTTGACAAGAGAAAAAGGACAGAGGATAAATGGTTTATAGACTGTAAGAGATGAAAAAAAAAATTCACTTGTGCATGTAAAGAAGGAAGAAAGAGAACGAACCCCATTTTTAGGAAACATTGTTGAGGCCCAAACCCCACTGTCATCAAGTTAGGTCAAATGCATGGTGTCCTTCCACTGAACTATAAATATTAACAGCAGAAGAACACTTCATCTATGTCCTGAGGAAGCACTCGTGGATATGAAACAAAAAGTTCAGCATCTTATTATTAGAGAAAAAATAAACCAAAACAAAGGCCTCTAAAGTTGAAGTTGAGATTATAAGTAGACATTTTAAAAGTGATTTGGAATATATTTCAAGATTGTATACTTGACCTGTAATCATAACAATTTCCTTCACTTACAAACTAGCTGTGACATACTCAGTGCAATTTCTCTAGGGATGGAATTTTTTCCAAATTCCTCTCTAGGATCCACTTTGCCATGAGACGGAATCGACTTTAACACTGATTTGGTTTGGGGGTTCTTTTTATTATCTAGTTCTCCAAAGTGCTAAAAACTAACGTATGCCTGATCTAAGCCATGGTCTTATCAGTTGCTTCCAATGCATCTGAAAGTTGGACAATAAATAAAGATCACAGAAAGAAAAACTGATGCCTTTGAATTGTGGTGTTGGAAAAGGGTTTTCAATATCCCATAGACTGACAAAAGAGCAAACACATCTGTCTTGAAGAAATGCAATCAGAATGTTTTGTACAGACAAGGATGGTGAATCTTTGTCTCATTTTTGGCTTGTCATCAGGAGAGGCCTCTCCTTGGAAAAAGATATAATGCTGGGGAAATGGAGAGTCAGAGGAAGGAAGACCCTCAAGAACATAGACTGACACAGTGACTTCAATGATCTGTTAAGGCATGTTGGCATTTGGGAAGATTCGTGCAGGTTAGGGAAAGGTTCCAGTCTGTTGTTCATAGGGTCAGTATGAGTTGCAATCAACTTAATGGAATACAACAACAGAAATTTATTTAATCTAAGCATGCATCAGAGTGATGGACAATAAGAATGATAGAAGAATCGAGGCCTTTGAGTTAAGGTACTGGAGAAGGGTATTGTATATATCGTGGACTGCAAACAGATCCATCCTGGCAAGGGTGAAAACAGGCTGCTACTAGGAGGCAAGAATTTTGAAGACCAGTCTGACATATTTTGGGCACTTTTCTAGGAGGGACCAGTCCTTCAAGAAGGACATCATGCTTGGGAGGGTTAGAGGGACAGCGCAAGAGAGGAAGATACTTGATGAGATGGATTGACTTAGTAGTAAGTAACTTGGGTTAATAGAGGTAGGTGTGTTAGAGGCATGAGGTTGGCTCAAGATAGAGCAGGGTTTAGAGCTGTTACAGGGCCACTATGAGTCATGGTGACTTGAATCACTTGACAACAAGTATTACCAAATGCACAAAATGTCTTATAAATAGGGAAATGATTTTTATTACATTGTTATTAAAATAGCAAAATAATGCTGTCCTCTTTTATTATGAATTAATGGCATTATGCAGCTACATTTAAACAACTTTTAGAGAGCAATAAAGAGATTTCTCTCTCTTCCAAATTGAACTTAACACAGAAAACAGCCAAGCTTTGGAGAGTGAATGTGAAGTTACAGGAAAACCAATTTTGAAAAGTAATAGAAACTATATTATTTTATCTAAGTGTATTCTCAATAGTACAAAAAGGACTGAAGAGCAACGATGTCAGTCTGAAGACTAAGGTGCACCTGATACAGGCCATGGTCTTAGCAATCACTTGCTATGCATCAGAGAGCTGGACTATGACTAAGGATGATAAAAGAATTGAGCTGTAGTGTTGGAGAAGAGTATTGAATATACCATCGACTGCTAAGAGAATGAACAGGTTTGACCTGGAGAGGGTGAAGCCAGGGTGCTCTTTGGAGGCAAGGATTCTAAGGCACTAACATACTTTAGACATGTTGTAAGGAGGGATCAGTCCTTGGAGAGAGACATCATGCTTGGGTGGGTGGAGAGACAGGGCCGGAGAGGAAGACCCTTGATGAGATGGATTGATTCAGTGACTGGGGTAATGAGGGTAGGTGTGTCAGAGACAATAGGATTGATACAGGATAGAGCAGGGTTTAGGGCTGTTGTACTTAGGGTCTCTATGAGTCGCAGGCAAATCAATGGCACATAACAACAACAACAACATAGACAATAGATGCAGCCATTAAGCCAACCTTATTTTCACAATGAGGAAGAAAGATGGGGACTCTCCTTCCATGCAATTTATTATTTTACAGCTCAGCAACCTAATAAATCGTTGGCTATGAGTAAGTTCCAACTTGAAGGCAATGACTTTGAGTTGAGTGACCTTCATAGTACCCTAAAATTTCAACTCAGAGTTGGTTCAAGAAGTAAGTATGGCAAAAATGGTCCAGTGCCAAGGTCAATCCAAGCCCTAGAATTAGGTTAAACTTGTGGCTGTTTTTGTCAAAAAAATGACTGGGAATATTCTTAATAAATGAAACTTGGGGCAATGAGTTCTCTAAATGGCCTAAAATGTGCCAGACTTGATATCAGTCTACATTTCTAGAACACTGTTAAAAAGGTTGGCAAGACATGGAAAGAGTTCCCTTTATTCCTCTTTCATTCAATCCAAATGAATTCCTTTTGATTGTTGGCTCCATTTTCATCACTATTTGGAGCAAGAAGTATAGTTTAATGACTGAGTTCAAGGATTGCAAACAATCTTAGTTGAGATGCAAATGTAGGCTCCACTACAAATTATCTGGGTCATCTTGGGCAACAGTTTTCTACCCCTTAATTTATTTATCAATTAAAGAAAGCAACTTTTTCTTTAATAAAATACTTATTTTGAGGATTTATGAAGATACATCATGTAGTGACACAGTGAATGGCTTGCATGTGACAGTAATTGCCATGTGATGGTATATAAACATAATGGAATATATAATAGTATTAATTCATGTTAAATATTTCAGTATTTCTCACCAGGATTTGTAAGACAATCAAATACTATCTTGAGTAATTGAGAATTATAAATAACATAATAAACATACAGTATACTTTAAAGTTGGGAGAAGGATGAGCAGTCTCCTCCTGTGTAATTAACTGCTTCTGAAAACCCACCGGAAAGTAAGGGTCAGCTTGGACTCCATGGTACACAGTAACAATACATTAAAGTTATGCCATGCATTTCTAGACATGTGTACATTAGTACCAAAGTTTACTTTACATATGACTGTGCAGAGTATCTTTTCTAAAGATTCTAAATTCTTAAAAGAAGAACAAAATACTGTTTGTAAAGATACACAAGTTTATTACTTAAAAATGCAATATTCATATGTATGATTTATTAAATATTACATTTGTACATGTAAACCTTGATAAGTAAACAGCATTTCAACCCAAGTTCGTGACTCAATAAAAAGTTCAAAGTAATTGTGATTCTTTAAACAACAGAACAGGGTAATGGACTCTTTAATTCAAATAACACTTGTTTGACATTAATTTATTGGTTTGAAACTTGATAGCATTATACCATTTAATTCTAAAAGAAAAGGAAATAATCCATATGCCATGGAGCTTTCAAACAGTATTTCAAAGCAATTATTATTTAAATATTTCATGATATTACAATCTTAATAAAACATTAATTACAAATATCAGATCAGTAAATAGAAAAAATAGAGATGTCTCCCTTTAGTTTTTCTCTTAGAAATCAACTGTTAAAATATTACAGAAATTTCAGCTATATATACATACATGTGCATATTTAGAAATCTCATGAATTCAGCCTCAATATTGCAAAGTTGCCAGCTTTACTGTAAACATCTTTTATGCAGTATTAATAATCTCAAAATATAATCTATTTTTCAAAAACTAAAATTTGAATGATATAATC